CTGCCTGCTTTGTGGTGGAGTGTTGCAGAAAACCTGTTATTGTACAAATGGGCAATACGTCTCTTTCCGTGTATATGAAGGTTACTATGACGAAACGCCTTTCTAAGGCACCTTTTTTTCTCTCTTTCCGTCGATAGATTAGTTGTGTAGTCAATTTCTGTGACACAGGATTGCTTGTCACTGTATAGTCTTTGATATGGCATCCGTAACATTCCAGTACAATGGTTGCCATATGATTCCTTCTGAAGTACCAACGCCTCTGGCCTACATATATGCAACTTATTCTTATCATTCCTGGCCTCCTTTGTTGCTTTCATCTTCTCTAGAGGACATATGACTTTACTTTACCTCTTTTATACATCCTTATCTATCTCATTCTCTTCAGGAATTTCTTTGATCTCCTTTTTTCTTCCTTTTTACAAGTTTTCATCGTTTCGAAGCATACAAAAAGAGACAACTTTGTTTACAAGATCTAAAACATAGACTGAAAGCTCAGAATTAGAGTCGCAAATGTTCAGACCACAGGATCACATTTTAATCAAAAGGTAACGCCGTTTGAGAACATAAACTGGGTATTGAACTACATGTCCCTGCAACTATGTTAGCATAAAATGTTACAACATTTCAATTTCCACGATGTGCCTTTTGTGTTAGCAGAATACCTCCATAAAACTGTTCTTCTCGGTGAAAAGTTGTGACAGGTTTTACTAAGAATAGCCTCCGACTGCACGCACACTAGTCGAAAAGCGGTTGTAAACCTTGCGAATTGCGGTGATGGAACAACTGACGGTCAGTGATTACTAGCGCTAAAATTGTACAACGTACAAGAAAATAGGGGTCTTTTTGTACTGATTCACAGTTTAATGTTGAACACATCCACTGTCTAGAGTATAATTTATTTATTAATATGCGTGATATTTCGAAGATGATATTAGTGATCATCTTAAGACGGGCGTAGGGGCAACTGCAAAATTAATTTCGAGCGTTTTAAATATTCCTCAGACATTGGTCAATATCCACCTCAACATTAATGGAGCCTTTTATGAATCAGCCATTTTCCACAAATGTTTAGAGACTCGTCCACACTGCTGATGGTATATTTTTTTAAGTATTATGCTTACTTTCTTTGTGCTTCATCGCAGCAGATGATCCATTATTTCTCTTTTTATACCGTTCCGTTCTGGACCTTCCTCGTTTATCCCAGCATGAGGCCATGCCCCCAGCACCTCAGCAAGCATGCTTTCTTCCTTCACATCTTCAGCTTCAGTGGCATTGCCATCGCCTTTCTCGGTCGCAGTTTAACCGCT